CCTATATCTTAAAATTCTAAACCCTAAAAAATGTTCTGACACCTAAATCCCCTAAACATTCAAAACTAAACCCTAATAGAACATAATTAACCCAAACATAAATAATACAAAGAAAAAATAATTTGCAGATCTATGACTATTTCGAGAAGTAGCCATGTTGCAGATCTATGAAACCCAAATCCGGCGACTTGAAATCCAAATGTGGAAGAAGCTGGTAATTCTATAAATATGCTCGAGAAAAATGATAAAGAAGAAGACATTTGATCATTAAAAACACTAATTAGTTTAATTTCCCAGACAAAAGATACATTCTAACTTGCATGTCAAAGGGTTCTCGGATAGCAGCACATCATGTCCAAGGCTACCTTAACTTTTATATGCATTTCAAATTGGTACATGAAACATATCTTTTTCATGTAACACACTTTTTTATGCAGACGTCTAATTTAGTAAATAGACATTAGCCGTTAGAGTTTCACACTTAAATTGTTACGGAATAAAACAAAATATTATGAAACAACATGTTGTAACATTTTCTTTATAACATTAAAATACTTAAAAAAAAACAGTAGATGAGTGACTATATTTTATGACTTTTTTTTTGTCGCAAAACAGTCCTTAATTAGCGACTAAGTTAAGACTATCATTTGACTGTTTACGTGTGGTCGCAAAACAGTCACAACAAAACAGTCACAGATCTGTGACTGTTTTGCAACCTTTTTTTTAATAAGCAAGTGTAGTCGCAAAACAGTCACATATTTGAAACTGTTTTGCGACTCTCTTTCTAGTTAGTAGTGTAGTCGCAAATCTGTCCCGAAATTGTGACCACTTTGATACTCATTCTGATCGTGGCAAAAGAGTCACAGTTCAGTAAAAAAAATTATGTCGGCCAACTAGAAAAGTAAGTGAAAACGTGTTAAATACGAGAGTTAGGTAGCTTACCTACTTTTCCTAACTACTCAAAGTAGTAACAAATTAGTGGCAAAATAGTCACAGATTTGTGACTGTTTTTAAGTAGTCGCAAATCGGTCACAATAATTTTGCCTATATAAACAACTAACCCTCATCCCATTTTCACAAATCATCAGAACAAACATAAAGAGAAAAAAAAGCAGAAAAACAGAGAAAAAAATATGTGAAATTTATCCCGAGAGTGGATGTATAACAAGGTCAGTACACGCAAAAATAATCTATCAAGCGAATTTTTGGAATGGGTCGACCAGTTCATCAATTTCTCAAGTAACCAAGACATAGCTCTAAGCAGTGGAGGTAAGTTATACTAGCCTTGTTTTAAATGTCAAAACTCTATTAGTTTAAAGCTAGCTCGAACC